TTGTTCTATACCCCAGAACCCTGGGTCCTCTTTCGCCCCTCCAGATACTACCCCATTAACTGCCGCTGCTGACGGTCGACAGAGCCCAGAACTGTAGGTACCAGACATTCCAGAAGAAGTGGACCCCCGTTTTCCACTTCGTTGGAGCTTCCGCTATCTGGTTTTTCCATCTAATAATATTAACTAGTTAATTAATCTACTATCTTACTACATACATGTACATGTACATCTACTTCTTCGACTACTACCCTCCTCTACTACGCCTCCTCACTCACTTCTGTCGAAGAATATCGATTTCTCTGCTGTGTCCTTTTCCAGGAGATTGCCGATCTTTTCTGTGCCAATTCTGTCTCCCTGATTTACATTCTGGACACCAGAAAGTGTTAAGCTGCTCTTTTCTGCCAGGATGCAGTTAAATGTGGGCGGTGAGGATGCTACCTTCAAATGACCTTGGCAGCACATCAACCTTTGAAAACTTCTTCAAACATCTCAACAGGAACCTCTTTAGGGAACAAAGCACAACAAACATTTCAGCGTTGATGAAAAAAGGGAGACACGTTTAAGCAGGTGGTTTATAATCTTGTTTTTGACAAGAGCGCTAAATTGCCTCTTGCTTATCAACTTTTTTTTTTTTTTGCAGTCTGTATTCTCCAGAAGTCGACCCTTACGGCCGTTGCGTTTAACTGTACCTCACAATGCGCAATGATTCAAGGAAATTCACAGAGAGAGATGCTCTTACAACTAATATCTGCCCTGACATTTTCCAAGCTCCGGATTTGACATGATGTCGATGAGCACACTGAGGAGAAAACCCTTCCAACATATATATTACCCAGCTCAAATAGGCAAAATCTTCAATAACATATATCAAATTGTTGAAAAAGAAGGATACGGAGTGACATAAACTGTATGGCTTTCTCGCGATCTACAATGCTTGCATTTATTAATGTTGTTACAGTCCAGGATATGTCAAATATACACACTTTACTGTTAATCAGTGAGCCTCGACATATTGTATAAAAGCTTTATGTTTCTTCCTCAAAGTCGAACCATGAGATTGGAATCTGCAGTCATCTAAACTCTCTTCAGTCTCAATCTAGCCATCTTGGCAGAAAGCTCTTTCGACAACTATACAACCCATTTGGAGTGATTGGCCCACATGACACTCACGTATGCCTTGTTCAACATCCATTGGGATTGAGTTTGGAACAGATTCTTGACATTCGGCCTCCTAAAACTCTGACTGTAGAACTTTTAAAGCCTCCGTTACGACACATTTTGGCTGGGCTGTTCTCGGTATTTGAATAGGCTGAGTTAAAAGAACCCGCGCCGAGAAAGGTTCTCATCAATCGTGTCATTTACAAGAGCTGGCAGATTCCCCGTACGCCTCGCCTACCTCTTATAACTGATTTTGGCGAGGGCCAGACTCGCAGATGAAAATCACAGAGGACAAGATATTATTATGCCAGATGTCTACGGGGCACAAGAGGTTATCCTCAACATAAATTGGGACATTAAAGTTGATATTTGGAGCATTGCTATGGCGGTAAGTGAGATTTACCTTTTTGTTACATTTTTGTTACATTTTGACAGGTTTAACCAACATGCTTTCGATTTCGATTACTATCTGGATAGATTTGGCACCTCGTAGCTAGGCGTACATTCTTCAAAACCAGGAATGATCAACGACTTTTGGACGATACGCACCACCCTGCGGAGATGGTTGCTATCATGGGGCCTCCTAAACAGTTTCTAGAACGAAGTGAGATGAGTTGTCTATGGTGGGAACAACACGGGTATGTGACTATATGTTCAATTTCAGAGTGTTCTCCCTTGAACGGTTTGCCGAAGACATCGAGGAAGAGAACAAAAAGGGATGTTCGGAGATTTCCGAAGGATTCTACGTTCGTTGCCTGAGAAAACCCGATTGAGAATCTCAACTGGTCCATCTACGATCAGGCAATGATGTAATAAGCAGGTTAAGGTTGTAACATTAAGGCATAGCACAAGGAGTGCTGAAAGCTATTGAGATCTAGCCTTAGAAGTTAGAAAGAGTACGATACATGATATTCAGCTATGACCGACAAGGAGCAGTCGGGTGCTGGCGACCGCAAAAATACCTCATGTGAATTTACTTGGACGTTTCCTTTTTAGAAAAATCTCAACGATACAGAAGTGTATCGCAATCCACGGATGTTTAGAGTATGTAAACTGGTAATTGTGGCCTCGCTTCCACTGCACGAGTTCTGGGTTTCACGAGCTCTGGGTACCAATGCCGAATATCCCGCCTTTTCCATCAGTATGTTATTGCTGAGGAACGTATTTGGTTAACTAAAAGTATTTCTGCCCCTCGTGGCATCGCAAGCTAGGAAAACCTTATTATCGTTCATTCTATTCTTTGTTGGAGAGGGACTTATGCAAGATGGCGGGCGGGGTTACGTGGAAGTCTCCAGGAAATATAGTCTGTATATGTAGAGTTTTGCAAACTAAAAAAATATAGCTAGTCCAATATGTATGAATGTATTGTCATGTTCATAGGGAGACATTTTTTAATAAATCATATATTTATGTCGAACGGCACTGAGGGAACAAAAGGGGAAAATGCGACAGGTTCCGCTCGAGCCAGCGGAAATGGTCAACGGGAGCTGTGTTTTGCCTCTATCCTTTTGGTATCTCCCTTAAAAGTAGAGATTAACCCATGAACCTAGATTATTTTTCCAAAAAGATATTCCGTTAGTTTACCGAATAATAATATAAGCCTGACCAACGGTAACTACTGTACAATGGTTGTGTCTCAGAGTTGTATTCAGTCAACGGCAGATGCATCATCCGCAGGATTTTAGATTGCCAGTGATAAGTTAAGGTTTGTCTGGATTTTAACTGGCTCAGCCGTCGTAAGTTGAGTTATGTCTGGTAACTATCAAACAGGATGTCCGACCAGACCTGTCAAGAATGCCACGGGATTTGCAGGTTCGACAGGTTCGACTTCTGGTTTAGTATGATGGGGAATGTCTTGAACGAACCAAACGAGATCTTCCACAAGCTTCCCATAACCACCGAACCCTTGAAACGGCGGAGATAGGAAAATCCACAACCCCACTCTACCCTCTCCTGCCGTGGTTGGTGTCTGGTGCTTTCGTTGCGCTGTGTTTCCCCATCCATTATTGCGCGGGGGCTGGAGACCTCTGGAATGATGTTCGAGTCCACCCCCGGCATTCTCCACGTGTGGAAGGGATTGACGGCATGAGAGAATGGCATGGGTGGATCTAGTGCCGATGGGTTAAACCAGTCGTTTCAGTTGACAGGAGGCCGAAAAGTTTCAAGTTGATTTAAACGAACCCCAACGACGTTCCCTCGTGAGACCTTCTAGAACCGTGTGTTTGTCAATTAACGTATTATACATAGGTACCTACAGAGTACATACATAATTTGCCATGAAGTCCAGTCGGGAAGGGCAGTGAGATGTTGCAATCATAAGTTCTCATCTACCGTCCATGATCAGCACATTACTGGAGTTAAATATGCACAGAGAGGAAGCATCTTCAATGGCAAGTTGCGCACAAGAGTAGTGTGTTGGTGACCGAGCCACTCCTCATTGTCAACAGAAAGCGTTGTTTGGCCCGTCGGTGCAAATCCCGCTAAGATACGTATGTCATCTCAAGTAAGGACCAGCCCAAGTCTAATCCACTGCCGAAGCCATAGTTATCCTTTCGTCCATTCCCGCCATTCCCGGCTACCCGGTCATGGTGTAACGGCGAGAGTTCAATCAACACCTCGTGGTCATGATCCTTGTGTTACGGTTTGGATATCATTGGATTTTGACAGACTCGTGACAAAAACATCCATGTCGTGTAAGAGGGGGTTCGTTGGTTAAACAATAGCCGCTGCCTCGCAACCTTCCTGCCGGCGCTTGATATGGGGTGGGGGGGGGGACTATTTATTCTTCCTGACATCGAGACATCCCCCCGTTTCTGGATATATGTGATACATCGATTGGACTCGCGACAATTCTCGTGGCATATATATCCTTGCAAGCTCAAAGCCTTGCTTTTGCTCTGCTGTTCTGTTAACATGTGGGAATATGCGGCAGATATCGATATCATCTTGACCGAGCCTGAAGGTATCGGAGACGCAACTGAAATCTACTGAATATGCACAGAGTGCAAAATTCCTAGGTAGGAGAGAATCAATTCATTTCTAAGGGCAAGAGTTGTACGGAGTTTGATGTTTGCGATAACTATCGGGTTCCGATATTTCAACTCAGCACCCCACGCCCTTCAATACGCCATCAAGAACTCCTCAAATCTCATCCTTCCACTCAGTCACGTAAATTGCCCGGTGCGCAAAGCCGTCTACTGTGTGCCCCAGGACTTTCCCCTAGCTCCTCAAAATATTTCGTTCTAATTAATGAAGATGAAAGCTACAGCTCCCTCTCGCATTTGTTTCAAAGCTTCTATCTTTTCTTGCCATGAATGAGGATTGCCGATCCGAAGTTAATTTGTTGATCATGAGTCTTATTAGTCGATGGCTGCTAGTTGGTTAGTTATACATGTGTGACTACTTCTAATTTATCCCGCCAGATGGCCAGGTCCTGCTTGATAACTTGGTCAAATTGTTCTGTTCTACAACCCCATTCATAACTAACTTTGGCGTATTATGCGCATTTTGGGTTTCCCAGGGAATGAGATCTACATCTTGTCCTGGCAGGGCATTGAGTAGATGCCTGAGGGACTTGTGCCAGCATTGTCCTCCCAGCAAGGTGGATGGTTGAGGGGGCCGCTTGAATATTTGGCATTCATGTTTCAGCGCTGCAATTCCACCCGTGGTTGTTCACCCGCTTTCAACCTTCATTCGAATCGCTATTACGTCCCTCTCGTGCTTTTGGTTCCTTTAAAATCACGAGAGAGGGAGTGGACGCCAGGAGAGTTTCAAATCACTGGCGCTAAACACAGCAAAGACTTCAATTTCGGCGCTACAAGAATCGCACGAAGAGATCCAGCTTAAACACTACTTCCGTATACCGTCCTGCGAAGCCCACTGATACAGGATGCAACATTATTATTATCGGTACATAGTTGCAACACAGCGGCGCCAGGACCAGAGGATGCAGGCTCGATAGCGGCCAGAGTTACTCTTACAGCCCTGTAAGGAAGAACTGGAAGCCATTACACTGCGTAGGACAGGCTGAGTGATAACTGAAAATCTGGCAGACGTAAGAAGTTCTCGAATATCACGGTTTACTCGAGTTCAGCGTCCTTAGGCCTTTCAGTGTTTCTTTGCTAGTACACTAAACATCACCCTCTACAAAGAAGTCGAAGGGCGCGGAAACTGTGTCTCTCATAATTGGCATTGCGACCACTGAAGATTTCGGTTTGGGAACATTCATTAACTCTTTGTTAGGCGAAGATTACAAGACTTGGAAGATAGGAGAATGTTTTCGGGTGTCAGAGTTCAGGTCCGCATTCATCCTGGAGTTGAACAGCTAGATTGTTTCCTCCAATTACAATAAAAATTCAAATCGTACGTTCTCCAGTTAAGTAACATCGATGCGCTAAATGATGTATGTATGTAAGTACTGTACATATATCCATCCATACAACACGTTGAACTGCGGGAAAGGACACAGGTGCATGCCTCGGGTATATACTTAGACGACGCAATGCAAATGCAGTGTAAATCACCATTCCTTATCGCTCCCACTGCGCGAATCTGCAGGATATGCCTTCTTCCATAGTCTCCACATATTCTTGACGCTGTTCTCCTTTGCATCCCTGGCACGTTCATTCAAACTCATCCAGGGTACGTTACCCGCTCTCCGCACCCGCTCCCGCAACCGCTCTGACACGGCATCTCGTTTTTCCCGCTCTGCTGTATCCAGTTTTATTCCCTCCGCCTTCTCTTTCGCCATCATTCTTCGGTACCGACGTTGTGCAGCACGTGCGCAAAAGTACTCCTCGGAAATGGCCCAGTTGGGATTGTCCACCTGGCCTCGAACTAGGATTATATGGTGTCCTTGCTCCACTGCATCGCGGATTTTATGGGGTGGGATGGGGGTGTAAAGGTCGAGAGTCTGTGTTTGAGGGTTGACGGACCGGATAATTGCCTGGCCTAGGCAGTAAGATAGGCTGGGGTCGAGCGGTGTGCAGGCCCCATCGCCAACGAATAAGTGCGGGAGGTTGTCGTCTGGGGTGCGGCTGATACTAGGATGCGGTGGATCGATTGGCGACGATGGCGATTGGCTTTTGTTTAATGTGACATTTGTGCCTATTAGCAAATCGCCGTCGGGATCCAAATTGGACTCCTCATTTATTTGGCCGTTGTGGTCAGTGACAACATTGTCATCTGATGCATCTCGCTCTTTTCCAGCCGCGATTGCATTAAGGCTTTCGATTGCCACAATTCCTACAACGGCTCCGTCCAACAAATCGCTCAGCATGTCCAGGCCATGGTGTGAACCCGTCACCATTATTCCAAGAATCCCTGGTGAGGTTCCAGCATAGTTAACAGTCACTGGTCGGGTTAGGCATAGCGGGATATCGGACCAGGTTCTTTCACTAGTCCTATACTGTGTCGAATGGAAGTAAGAAATCATTTGCATGGACCTCAGCTGTGCGCTGGATCTGGTCACAAAGTCTGTGGGTTGAGATGGAAGTATGGTCATGAGAACCCCAGCCTCCGATGCTGTCGCAATAAGCGGCTCCACGACTTCAGCTGGGCCTTTATTGCTCATATATACTACATCAGAAAGCCCCAATGAAATAAGGAATGAAAGGACAATCTCCAAGCCAAGGCCAAAAATCCACCCAGGGTAGTTTATGACAAGGGGGCATTGAGGGTAACTTTGGAGTAACTTATGATAGCGGTTCATCAGATCCATTGTTGCCACAATGTAGTGGTCTGGGTTGTCCTTTGGCGAGGAGGCTCCAATATAATGGGATCTTATAATATAGCCATTGGACGGAGAATCAATGGTAGGATGCGAGAACGGCGGTCCAAGGATTGGTGTATGTAGACAGGCAAGGTAGACCTGACCCATAGGGGACAGCTCAGGCTGACCAGGGTCTAAATCTAGAAAAGCGACTCCACGTTTGCCCTGTTGTAAACTACCATCCGTTGGGGGTAGGCTCAGTAGGTGATTAAGAAGATATTTATTGAAAGTTGATTTTCCAGACCCCTTGGGACCACAGGTTAGTACTCGAAGAGCCGCTCCTCGTTGAGAGAGGGTCTGTATGGACGTGCTCCATTTTTTGTCGAGATGCAGAGGCCGCAGATGTCTTTTCAGGGGGTCATCCGAAGATGAATGAAGCTATTGGATCGTTAGAATCCTATGAAGAAAAGAAGATGTTCCCCTTTAAAGATGGCTTACAATAGAGAATGAGAACGATCCATCCGTCTGCAGAACCGAACCAGGGACTGGCTTTTTGCTATTGCATATCCGATGATACAGGTTTGAGAGATTCTTCAAACGGTACAGCCCATTGTTGCAAGATCTGATCTCAACCTCTGCATAACCGTCTACTCCAGAAACACATTTTATCACGGGAAGAGAGTGCGTGGACGGCGCATAGACTCTATATAGACGAGGGCTTGGATGCAATTTTGCTCCCATTATGCTGACCACACCTCGCTTAACCCATAGGTCGTACTGGCCTATGAGTGCCAAATTCTTCCTATTGTCAGCAACTGTTATGTAGACGTCAAGAAGAGGAAACCTACCATTTTTAGTTTCAAACGAATACATATCGCCTTATCCGTACGATATATAACACTGCTCTTACAGAGACGACTTTTAGATAAAAGGAAGTTCTGAAAGTCTGCCGGAGCATTTGTTAAATGCGCATCACTATATAATCCGTTAGAAATCTCTTTACGATTTTGAAGGATCTGGAGTCGCGTCGCACACCTCTCTTGGTCATCACTGCTAACCTCTGTTTCGACATCGTCATCCTCATCGCTACTGCCACTCTGATATCCAGCCGTTTGCGTAGCGCATATCTCGTCTGAGCTTCCCGCCCTGAATAATGCCGGTGTAGCAGAGTTGGATTTCCCTATTGTGATGTTTTCACTCGGCGATAAGGGTCTTTTATCGGGATGATCTCTCGAAGAACATCTCGAAGAGGAAGTTTTTGTCCTTTTCAATGGGGGTTCTTCACTTAAAATAGATTCAGGAACCGTAGCTGTAGTTTGCCAAACTGCCACTGATTTTTGCCGGGACCTTCGGGCTGCAAATGCGCTGACCGGAGCTAAATACAGAACTGTTAATATGTATTCGCTTCAGGTAGAAGAGGAAAAAATGGCCCAGAATACCAGATTGAGATTGCATCTCTCCTTTCCTTTTCATAATTAAACCAATACTGGGTTTTCCAGTGCCGGTGCTGAGCCTGGATGTTTCTTCCACCAAACCGCTTAATGTTTTTAAGTGCAGCGGATGGAACTTTCAAGGTGGTCCGTGCACGGCTTCCATCCATTAAAAAAAAAAGCTTGGACAATAAAAAAACATCGCAAGTTGCAGAGCAGACAGATGAAAGGCTATCGAACATCACTACGGTTGCAGACTTTATTACTGGATAAGACGATCATTGTTGAATTTTACATATATTCAAGTTTTTTTATTGATGGTTAGATATTAAGTTAAGAGGTTCTTCCCCCCCCCGCTTGCCCTCGATCTACTCTCTCCCTCACCCACGCATAGCTCCGTTGTACCCCGTCGAATACACAAATATGGCTCCTCCACTGAGTAAAGAGATTATTACGGACAGCGATAGCAGTAGCGAAGAGTCCTCTGAGTCAGAACTGCAAACGAAACCTTCAGCGCAGAAAACAATTGAGAAGACAAAGTCGAAGAAACAGGTGACAAATGAGGCGAAAGAGAAGGCAAATCCAGAATCAAGTTCTCCAAGTTCAGAGTCGGAGCCCGGAGAAGAAAGTGAAAACTCAGATGGAGAAGAACCTAGCGCTCCTGAAATGTGAGTATTTTGTGGTATCTAATCACTGTGGCTCCGTTAACGAATAGTTATCGAAGGGTTTCTACTCTAGCCATTGCGGTACCAGCACAGGAGTTCAAAGCTCCCGATGGGTTCAAAGTAATACCGACAACGGCACCACGATCGTCAGACGTTTCGAAAGCATTCTCAGATCTACGAGAAAAACAACTATGGCACATTACCGCTCCTGCGTCCGTTCCGATGAACTCGATACAGGAGTTCGCGCTTGATGCCGTGGCTCAGGGACAATCGATATTCAATCATAAGGGGATTAATTATAAATTACACGAAGGCCAAACGGGAGCGGATAAAAGTAAAGCACTTCTCCTCCCAGACAAGGAGAGCAATACCTACCACAGAAGTCACGTTAACATCGCGCAAACTTTCCACTTGGAGCGCATAGTTGACCTGGCAAATGGCGCTACGTATTCAGAACAATCTGTTCAAATAAGTGAACTAACAAAGCCCGTCCGGAAACAGCCAAAACATCTAAAAATGCGGTATAAACCCTTTGGTGCTTCGGTAGAAGACGAACCGGAAACATCTGGGTTTGGTTCGGAGGAGTCAGAGGCAGAGGGAGCTTCGTTCCGCATGCCTCCAACGTTATCACGGGACCGGGAAGGCAAAAAGAGGAGGAAGTCGTCCATGGAGGTGGAACCGGATAATGAGCAAGGGGAGCGGCGCAAGAAACACAAGAGGATACATTCGCATTCCGCAGCCGGTGGCCCGGAGGACATTTCGCTAACCGAAGATGTGGCTTCGTCTCCCAGATCCAAAAACGCTGTGGATGCAGGAATTGCGCGAGGGAGGACAGAAGAGCAACTCAGGGAGAAGGGCAACAAGAAGCATAGGGATGAGACCAACCAGGAACGGAGGGCACGGAAGGAAGAGAGAAAGCGAAGAAAACAGACATTGACATCGTAACAGTGTATTTTTATTTGAATACCAGCATTTTGAATTTTCTTATCGAGTTATATTCGTTTTCATTCCAGGGAGGGCTACCCATTTTGTGATTGTCATTGAAAATTTCATAATATCCAGGTGATGAGATAAACCAATAGCAGTGCATAGCTGCAGGTTCTCCTGCCCTATTCCACGGAACTCCTACTCATATTCTCCTCCAAGGTGATTATCTCATGTCATGTTAATAAAATATCTTTTCCGATGCGTCAATAAATCGACCTGAAATGAATCGCATCACATGACAAACCCTAACTGCCCCACCAGCCCTTCCAAAAAAAAAAAAAAAAATTTTAGCTCCAAGCTCGCCAAACCCAAGATCTTGTATCCAACAATCCAATATCCTTTCGATATCAAAGAGAAACGAGAAAAACGTTAGTCTCTTCATTACACATTGCATACCATACCCCTATCCATTGAAAATACAGCATCACCTTGTCATACACCATCATGGCGACATACGCTCTCTCCCTGGCTCACCGAGAGGTAAGTAATTGTTTTGACTCTCAATTGCAAGAGCGCGTGCAAGAGCGCGTGCTAACCTGATGTTGGACAGCAACTCGAGAAATCCCTGGTCGAGTCTGACCCAGAGGTTGCCGAGATCATGGTATGTAGCAATCAAATTTTAAGTTTTCCACTCAAAAGTTATGGCCAATTTCACGATTGTCATTCTTCACCTTTATTTTCCACCTCATTGGCTGATCTTTTTAATTCCCCTCGATTTAGAGAAAAGAAATACAACGTCAACGAGAATCAGTCGTCCTGATCGCTTCTGAGAACTTTACCTCCCGTGCTGTCTTCGACGCCCTGGGGTCACCCATGTCAAATAAGTACTCCGAGGGCTATCCAGGTGCTAGATATTACGGCGGAAACCAACATATTGATGCCATTGAGCTCACCTGTCAGAGAAGAGCCCTCGAGGCATTCAAACTCGACTCCTCCAAATGGGGTGTCAACGTTCAGTGCTTGAGTGGCAGTCCTGCCAACCTGGAAGTTTACCAGGCCTTGATGAGACCGCATGAGAGACTGATGGGCTTGGATCTGCCCCACGGTGGACATCTGAGTCACGGATACCAAACCCCACAAAAGAAGTATGTGTACATTGGCAGAAGTATTCAAACAGTGTTATGCTAACATGAGTCCCTTGAAAAGAATTTCTGCAGTTTCAACATATTTTGAAACCTTCCCATATCAGGTCGACCTCCAGACTGGAATCATTGACTATGATACCCTGGCTAAAAATGCCAAACTTTACCGCCCAAAATGTCTGGTTGCTGGTACTTCAGCCTACTGCCGCCTCATTGATTACAAGAGAATGCGCGAGATTGCTGATTCCGTTGGGGCTTACTTGATCGTCGATATGGCACATATTTCCGGCTTGATTGCTGCTGGAGTCATCCCATCGCCATTCGAATATGCTGACGTTGTCACTACTACTACCCACAAATCCCTCCGTGGCCCAAGAGGAGCCATGATATTCTTCCGCAAGGGAGTAAGAAGCGTGGAGCCCAAGACCGGCAAGGAAATCATGTACGACCTGGAAGGGCCCATCAACTTCTCTGTCTTTCCCGGCCACCAGGGTGGCCCCCACAACCACACCATCACCGCATTGGCTGTAGCCTTAAAACAAGCTAATACCCCAGAGTTCAAGCAATATCAAGAACAAGTTCTGAAGAATGCCAAGGCCCTCGAGCACGAGTTCAAGAAGTTAGGTTACAAGCTCGTCTCTGACGGAACAGATAGCCACATGGTTCTTCTAGATCTGACACCAAAAGCCCTTGACGGTGCCCGTGTCGAAGCCGTTCTCGAACAGATTAACATTGCATGCAACAAGAACTCTATCCCAGGTGACAAGTCTGCATTGAGCCCTTGCGGCATCCGAATTGGTGCCCCAGCTATGACTAGCCGTGGTATGGGCGAGGAGGACTTCAAGCGTATCGCCAATTTCATTGATAAGGCCATCAATATCTGCAAGAGTGTTCAGTCTGAGCTACCAAAGGATGCCAACAAACTGAAGGATTTCAAAGCGAAGGTTGCTAGTGAAACTGTACCGGAAATCTTAACCCTGCGCAAGGATATCGCTGAGTGGGCAAGCACTTTCCCCCTGCCAGTCTAACGTTATTCATGATTCAGTTCTGCCGGGCGTCTTTCTTTATCCTGGTTCGGATGCATGATGGTTGAAATTGCAATTTGAAAAAAAAAAGGGAAGTGTGGGTGTAAAATGGAAGAAAAAATATTATAAGAAAACGGTTAAGGAAATCAGGGGTGGTGGTTGAAACAGTGTTACTTTTCAACCTGACATGAGAGTTACGGCATTGCTTGCATTATTTGGACGATGGGCATGAATTCAATGGATTTTCAACAAGTGATCCATGGCGCAGGGGGCAGGGTTTTCTGTATTTTCCCTATTGTTATCCGCTTTCCCTGTGTTCTTTGAGTAAGCATCTGAGTTTCATCACCAGAATGCCTACAGACATCCCTCCGGAAATTAATTCAACTATCTACGGGATGATCTTACCTACATCTCTCTGCATCCAATTTCGGAAAACACTTGTCATCCATATGACGTAGTACAGTATCAATAAAAACCAATATCAAACAATGAATTACGAGGTTTAATATCTAATCCACCCTAAATAAACACACCCGATCAACCGCCCAGTGAATTCCCAATACCCAAACCAAGCCTTTAAACCTTTTCTAGTAGAAAATAAAGACGCCATGCTCAAAACGCACTTTAAAAGAGGTAGTTAAAGAGAAAAAAAAAACCAAATGCTTATAGAGACAGATTCCACTGAGATATTCCCACCAAACGCCTCACCGGCTCCCACCGATCCCCACATCCTCCGTAACCCCCCTACTCCTCCTCCCAAACTCCCCAATAACCTCCCGAAGCCTCTCAATGCTCTCCTCCAACTCCGCAATCTCCTCTTCCTGCTCCTCCACCCCCCGCTGCATATCGGGCAACCCCTCCAGCGCCGCCTTAGCCTTCTGAATCCGAATCTTGACCCCGCTAGCCTCCGACAACAGAACCTTGGGATCCAGGAACGCCACTGCGGTCGTGTCTATGGCCGTTGAGCGTGTTGCTGTTGCATTTGCGGAATGTGGTGGCGCTGGCGGAGGTGGCGGGCCGACTCCGGAGCCTCCGCCTGCTTCGGCTTGTTGTTGGTGTTGGTTTGATGGGTTGGAGGCTAGGCGGAGGAGGAGGTCGTGAAGTGGGGGGATGATGTCGAAGGTTTGGGGAGGGGGGAAGGGGGAGGTTTCCGCGGGGATTGTGCTGTCTTGTTGTTGAAGTTGTTGGTGGAGGGTTGGGGTTACAGGGGAGGAAGCGCTTGTGGAGGATTGGAGGGAGGGAATTTTGAGGGAGGGAATGGAGGCGGAGGTCGGGGTACGCGAGGAGGTCATTGCCGTCCGCCGCCGTTGTTAATGATATTCCGTCTTATATTATTGTTGTGGCGGAGATTTGTTCTCCTGATATTGCGATGTGTGATTTGCGTGGTGTTGCTTGTTGTTCTGACAGTGTGGGTGAAAGAGCAGGTATAAGTTAATCTCATTAATTTCGACCATTGGAATATATTCTTTCCCCCCACCTAATGTGTCCTTTCTCTGGTTCTGGAGATTCTGGAATGCATCCTTTGAGTGTAAGTTCCAGAGCAAGCCGTGTTGAATTGTTTGGCTGTCGTTCGTAGGTTGGTCGGTGACGTTGACAAGAACATGCACGCAGACTAACATACGCCGAATAAATATTATATAATATTTTGTTTATTCTGGTCAACGCTTGAAAACATCTGCCAGCATCCACCCATCCCTCCGTAGATCTCCATTTCTGCTTCAATTTATGCTGATTGCAACTATTCACTATCTTTCAATTGTTCAATTCGTAGCGTCTGCCTTTCAACCCTCAAAATATCTGTCACCACCGCAAAAATGGTTAAGGTCGACCACAAGGCAGTTTTGAGTATGCTTCCTCAGATTTCCTGCTTTCTCTCCGAACTCAACATATTCAAAACATGATTTATTGGCTATGACCCCCCGTTGACTCTTTGCAGTTGTTATTGACGGCTGGGGTATTCCTGGCCCCGACTCCCCTCCAGATGGAGATTCTATCGCGGCCGCCGATACCCCTACCATGTCTGGATTCGAGGAGCCGAATTCTAAGACTGCACAAGGCTACACCGAGCTCGATGCCTCATCCCTTGCTGTCGGTCTACCTGAGGGCCTCATGGGAAACAGTGAAGTGGGCCATTTGAACATTGGAGCTGGCCGCGTGGTCTGGCAAGATGTCGTCCGCATCGACCAAGCCTTGAAAAAGGGGGAGATGAACAAAACCGAGAACATTGTCAAATCATTTAGGAGGGCCAAAGATGGTAATGGACGATTACATCTTCTTGGTCTCGTATCTGATGGCGGTGTCCATTCGCACATCAACCATCTGTTTGGTCTGCTGCAGGTGGCTAAGGAATTGCAGGTTCCTAAGGTTTATATACACTTCTTTGGGGATGGACGGGATACGGATCCCAAGAGTGCGGCTGGATATATGCAACAATTGCTTGATAAGACGAAGGAATTGGGAGTGGGTGAGGTGGCGACAGTCGTGGGGAGATACTATGCTATGGATCGAGATAAGAGGTGGGATCGTATCGAGGTTGCTATGGAGGGTCTAGTCACGGGTAAAGAGGGAGAGGAGTCTACGGATCCCGTTAACACTATTGAGGAAAGATATGAGAAAGGGGAGAATGATGAGTTCTTGAAACCAATTATTGTAGGTGGCCAGGAGAGGAGGATTCAAGGTATGTCTTTTTTTTTTTTTTTTTTCAGTGTCATTTATAATCGTTCCATATCGAATCCTTACCTGAATAAAAGACAACGACACGCTCTTCTTCTTCAACTACCGCTCCGACCGTGTACGAGAAATAACGCAGCTATTGGGCGACGTCGACCGTTCACCCAAACCCAACTTCCCTTACCCGAAGAACATCTCCATTACCACCATGACCCAGTACAAAACAGAATATAACTTCCCCGCCGCTTTCCCGCCACAGCACATGGGCAATGTTCTCGCGGAATGGCTGTCCAAGAAGGGCCTCAAGCAATGCCACGTTGCTGAGACGGAGAAATACGCTCATGTCACCTTCTTCTTTAACGGGGGTGTTGAGAAACAGTTTCATGGCGAGGAGCGGGATATGATCCCATCCCCCAAAGTAGCTACCTATGATCTTGATCCCAAGATGAGTGCCGCTCCCGTGGCAGAGAAATTGGCCGAACGAATCTCGGATAATAAGTTTGAGTTCCTGATGAACAACTTCGCACCGCCGGATATGGTCGGCCATACTGGGGTGTATGAAGCAGCGATTCAGGCCGTAACTGCGACGGATAAGGCTATTGCGAGAGTTTATCAGGCTTGCAAGGATAATGGATATGTCCTTTTTGTCACGGCTGACCATGGGTATGTATTTCCCCTACCATTAACACACCATCTCTGTTCACTTTTCACAACGTGGCATGGCTAGATATAAGCAATATATATTGGGAACTAATAAAACTTGCATAGAAATGCCGAAGAAATGAAGAACGCCGAAGGAACACCCAAGACATCGCATACGACCAACAAAGTCCCCTTTGTCATGGCCAATGCCCCCGAGGGATGGAGCCTAAAGAAGTCCGGTGGTGTGTTAGGTGATGTTGCGCCTACCATCCTTGCGGCAATGGGAATCGAACAACCTGAAGAAATGAGCGGAACCAGTCTGCTGATCAAAGGATAGAATTCTCGCTTGTAGGGTCTGCTACAAGAATATGGATAGGCGGTCTTGCGTTCCCTTTTATGATGTGTGGTCTTCTAGTGAAATGGGCTTTATAGGGTTGAATATAGGACAAGGGCACAGGTGGTATAAAGCAGGGGGAAGCGAATCAGAGATTTGAATATGCAATATCTGAGGATTTCTTTGTTCAGTATCTAGGCATGTAAAAGAAAAGTTGATGAAACTATGTCCATTTTTGCAGATAATCCTTCTTGTGATATAGAAGATGTGTTGATATTTACATGAAACGGAGGAGTTCCAAGGCGATCGAACTCTGAAATGACACATCCCTGCATAATAGAAAGCGCCATATATTGGACTCATCGACATGAGATGATGTTTTTTGCATGTCAAATGGTCACCTTAGAGAATGTGTGATGCCGCCCGAAACACTTGGAACACTGCAAACCCTTGCTTCTTATTGAGTCGCTGAATCGCCGCTCCCATCTTCTGAATCTGGTAAGTGCAAGAGTATCTGGTGCATCTGTCCCTAATAAAAAGTTCCCAGTTTCTTAACCAAAGCCGTGCGGAAAATATATCTATTTTACCCTAGAGCTACTTCAGAATGTCGTATGTCAAGGGGAATTCGTAGTCGCCGACTTGGAGTAGTTTCAATATCGTTCAGGCCAAAGGCGAGAGGGAATGAAAGCTTCCATATGAAGGGACTGGAGATGGAGTTTATTATAGCACATCGGATGGCAATTCGTTCGATTACAATCAAGCTGCAGGCACACCTGCTTGTTGCTGTTGCTGCTGTAATTTTGTTTGTAGTTGGATAATCTAGCGAGGGTGGGTTAGCGAAACTGGTCGCAAATGGAATACAACCGGTTCAATGACATACCTCTATCTTCCTTCTCTCTCTCTGTTCTTGGACATTATTGATCTGCTTCTCGATTCGACTTCTGTTTATTGTGCATCTAAAGTTAGTGATCTATGTGATCTATGTTTCTATAGACCAACGGTAGCTCCGCCTTTGGGGGGAAAAGAGTATAGGACCCACATACATCTCCATTTCAATAAAATCAAGACGACCGTCCACAGCCATCACTGCATCGCGCTTGTCCTGCTTGAGCAGAATTGGACCCACAAGCTTGTATATATTTGCGTCGTCTTCGAGGGTGTTGAATTCCTGTTTGGAGAGCATTCAGACGGCCCGTTAAACTTCATAGCCCTATTATCCATGACATGTAACCCTTCCGTACCTTCTGCACACTTTTGTTTTCCTGCTGCTGGGACTCTAGTTTCTCACGAGCTTGTACAATCTCTTGGAGTTCTGCGGTATAGATAGAGCCCGGGTACAATTAGCGGGGTGTCTGTTGAGATGCGAAATTATGGCTGAAATACAGACCTGTTTCGAGTTTCTGATGCTCGTCACTAAGGACCTGGAGTTGTCTCTGTAGATCTGCCATGAGATCGATATAAAGAGAGTGAGTTGTTGTTTTAAGATTACTGATTTAGCCACAGTTGCTTGTCTAGGTACATCTACTTATTTATGGATGCGCAGATGTTCCGTAGTCGCATTTTCGCTTCTCGGCCTGCAACGGCACTAGCGCGGAGTCAGCTCCTTAGCGAAGACTAAGTCTACCTAACCCTGTTAACCCATTGCCTTTAACTAACTATATATATATTACTTGACCCGGCAGACCAGAGAACACTTCTACCCTCCCATCAGACACAATCCTTATTTTGTTACCCCTTTATTTTGACGCTGGCAGCTGGGAAACCTCACCCAGCGTATACTTAAATTGCCTTCTGACTTCTGCTGCCTGCCATTATTTCGCCCGCGTGCGGGGTTGCTTTTCCCCAACTGCGAACCACAACAGGAGGGTCGGTCTACCAACATCCCAGATAATAACCCATCCACAGCCCCACATCGAATCCGGTCGATTCACATTATAGGATACCCATCGCGATGAGCAATACAGATTTCCTCGGACGGGCTATAGATACCGTGAAAAAGGCCATCGAACATGACAACGCCGGCGAATATGAGAAAGCTTACCAGACCTACTACTCCGCCCTCGAGCTCTTTATGCTCGCCTTGAAATGGGAAAAGAACCCGAAGTCGAAGGAGATGATCCGTGCAAAGACAGGGGAATATATGGAAAGAGCTGAAAAACTGAAAAATCATCTCGCGGGGAATGATAATCGGAAAAAACCCAGTGCTGTTGGAGCGAATGGTAAAGTCGCGCATGGCAGTGGGAAGGGAGCGTTAGTTTATTCCCGTCCTTTCTGTTAACGATATTTTTCAGAATCGTTTTATTTACGGGGATATGTGAAGCTGACACGTGGGGACTAATACAGGAAAGACGACGACGACGAAGACGCTGATGCGAAAAAACTACGAGGTGCCCTAGCGGGATCTATATTATCTGATAAACCCAACGTGAAATGGGATGATGTTGCTGGACTCGACGGAGCTAAGGAAGCGCTCAAAGAGGCTGTTATTTTGCCCATGAAGTTTCCCCATCTTTTCACAGGTCAAAGACAGCCCTGGAAGGCTATATTACTCTACGGACCACCGGGCACTGGCAAGTCATATCTAGCCAAGGCAGTGGCTACAGAAGCCAACAGCACTTTTTTCAGCGTGAGCAGTAGTGATCTAGTGTCCAAATGGATGGGTGAGAGTGAAAGGTAGGAGAAGCGCTTTACTGATTGTATCCTAATATTGATTTTGATTATGTCTAACTTCAACAACAAAACGAAAAAAGGCTCGTTAAACAATTATTTAACATGGCACGGGAAAACAGACCAGCAATCATCTTCATAGATGAGGTAGATGCTCTCTGTGGTCCCCGTGGTGAAGGAGAGTCAGAAGCCTCCCGTCGAATAAAAACCGAATTGCTCGTGCAAATGCAAGGTGTTGGCAAAGATTCTGACGGAATACTAGTTCTCGGAGCCACGAATATTCCATGGCAACTAGATATGGCCATCAGGCGAAGATTCCAACGAAGAGTCCACATCGGTCTGCCAGACCTGGCTGCGAGGATGAAGATGTTCATGCTAAATGTCGGAAGCACCCCGTGCCAATTGACGAATGCCGATTATCGACAACTCGCCGAGATGAGTGAGGGATATTCTGGTAGCGATATCAGTGTCGTTGTCCAAGATGCGCTCATGCAACCTATCCGCAAAATTCAAACAGCAACCCACTACAAAAAGGTATGCTTTTTATAATAGCAAGTCCCGTTCTTAATCCCTACATGCACGAAAATCCACTACCAGATTCTAATCACTTTCTTACAGGTAATTGCCGACGGCCAAGAGAAGCTTACTCCATGTTCACCGGGTGACAATGGGGCAATGGAAATGACATGGGTGGACATCGAATCCGACAAACTCCTGGAACCACCGCTTTTACTGAGAGATTTCGTCAAAGCCTTGAAATCTTCTCGGCCCACAGTAAGTGAAGAAGACTTAAAGAAGAATAACGAATGGACGGCGGAGTTTGGCAGTGAGGGATCATGAATTACCAGTGTGTTTTGTTATTTACCTTCACGATAGAGAATACACGTTTATTTTGATGTTATGAGATGGTTTTTCTTTTCTTTTCTTTTCTTTTCTTTTTTTTTTCCCGTCTTTTTTTTATTTTTATCAGCGAGTTACGGGGCATTGATATATTACTCTTTTATCTTATTCTTATCGTTGATAAATTTAGCATATCTCGCCGGACTATCCATGTTGATTGATCAATGAACGTCGGGTTAGGCGATCCTTCAAAGATGCCGTTGTTAGCATGCACTTCTTTTTTGTTCCATTTGACCACAACTTATTTCCAGCGTTGACAAGGAAAGGGGGAAGCCCTGGAGGCTTCCACGCCTAGTAATATTACTGCTCTGCCGTAGAGTAAAAAATTCATCAGGAAGCGCCAATGTATAACGGACCGACTACCAAACAACCAATTTACCAAAAGAAGAACGCAGTGACATCAAGATGCAATGGAGATCGACGAAGGAGGGAAAGCAAAAAAAAAAACCCGTCTCATGGAGCAACAAGCAAATTGAAAGGGACTCTCTTAGCGCCGGGCCGAATATCACCGTGAAAAGACAAGACAAAAGTCAATATAAAAGAACGGAAGACCGATCGAATTGCATGGTAGAAATTACGCAAGGGGAAGGGATATTTAACAAGAAACTAATAATTAAATCAACCAGGTACTCTAATCTAACCGCGATTTCCTCCTCGTAAGCTCTCTCTTTTTCAATATCTCCGTCTTTGCTTTCCGAAGGTCCTCACCAAGGCTTTTCATCTTGCTCCATTCTGCACTCATCTTTTGCATACGGCAGACAGCCAAGACGGTGCTTGCGATAGCTTTGAGCTTATGGCGGGGGTTAAATTTCCTTCCCGGGCTGTGAGGCTTCACTCCCATCTCAGCGATCATCTTGAGATCAGTTTCGTTACTGTTAGGGAAGGAGGAGAACAGAATAATGTTAGCAGTGTCCGGATCAACAGCATTTTCCCAGTGAAATCGGAGATGTTAGAGGATGGAAGGAAGGGAAAAGTAGCACAAAATATGAATGCACCAACTATAAATGCTCTTAACATACCAAGCAATCCGAACCCGTTCACCCAGTTCCATCAACCCTTTACTCCAGGCCAGGTCCCTACGGAACTTCTCCTCCCTGACCAGTCGGGACCTTAACCACATAATCTCTTTACCCAAGCCTTTGATTTCCTTTGCATGCCGTCCTTTGCGTTCTGAGTGTTGTGTCAATTCGTCCAGGAGAGTATCATATCGGTCCTGTAACGACTCGAGCTCCCGGTGCGCTGCGTCTGCTTTCTTGAGAGAGAGAGAGCGTTCATCACGAACTCGACGAAGGTGGCTTCTTAATTCATTTACACGGGCGTCACGCTCGGAGAGCTGTACTGTCAGGGCCTCGGCTTTAAGGGTAGAAGACTTGAGCAATTCGTGGAGATCTTTGCGTTCTTCTTCATTAACTGTAGCAATTTGCAATTTGTAGTTCTGTGTCTTCAAATCCTTCATGGATTTGTGCATATCAAGAAGTTGATTGCGGAGGCTTCGCAGCTCGTCTTGGACCTTAACTGAGGTTGAGGGGGATGATTTCGGCGACCTCGAACTCAGCTCCTTAGCCTTGAGTTCATGATTATCTCGTTCCAAATCAACGATGCAAGCTCTGAGATCACGGATAGAGGCCTTCAGGGACAATTCGCGTTGAAGCGAATCCCTCTCTTTACTTCTCGCATCCTCCAAGCTTCGTCGTAGCATTGAAAAGTCGGCAGATAAAGACTGTTCCACACGAGGAAAGGAGCGATTATTCAATAGAGTTTCAAGTTCTTGAACTCGTAGTTCAAGCCGCTCAGCTTTGCTTTTTGTGGAAATGAATTCGCGATTACGACTTTCTGATGTAATGAAGAGTTTGTCTTGCAGTTGGTCAATTTCTGAAGAAAGGCGATTCTCCTCTACTGCCGCCCGGTCAATTTCAGAATCGAGGTCAGCTTGCAATTTATCCTTAGTTTCCAACAGAGTTTTCTTTTCATCTTTCAGGCGGCTCAACTCGTTCTCGAATCTTAACAAAGATTTTCGGAGATCAATCTTTTCTTGATCGAGACGGTAAGTATCATCGACATGGTTCTGAATTCTATTAATTTGGCTTTGCAATTCATCCCGTTCTGCTTCTAGTTCAGCGGATGACGTGCGCAGGTTATGAATCTCAATATTGGCGTTGGCCAACTTGTCTCGAATAGTCTGTCTCTCCTTATTAGCTGATTGCAGCTGTTTTTCCAATTCCAAAGTACTCGATTTGTGTTGGTTCCCGGCATAAGCTCGCTCTTCCTCCAAAGTAGCTTGCAAGACAACAATTTCATCTTCCAGCCCCTGCAATTTTTCTTTCAAGCTGCTTTCCTCCCGTTTAGCAACTCTTAACTCCTCTTTCGCACTCATGAGTTCTTGCCTCTGGCTTTCGGCGCTCTGGCGCCTAGATGCAATATCATCATTAAGCTCTTTGATTTGACGGTTCAGGAGCTGTTCCTCTCGCAGATGTCGTTCCTTTTCGCTGTCGACGATATTTTGTAGCTTTTCTTCCCTCCCGGAAAGAGTCGACTCGACTCCCTGCAACTTGTCTATTGTCCGCTTATACCCAAAAATTTGCTGCTCGACCTTTTCCTTTTGCAGCTCTAAATTCCGTTTCATGCTATCCCACCTATCCCTATCAGCTGCATGTTGGCCCTCTTGATCCTCAATATCGTGTTTGAGGGAGTCTATCTCGTCGTGTAGCTGATCAATCTCATTTCTATGCTGTAGTAGGAGTTCATCCTTATCGTTCATCGACCGTTCCCTTTCAACTTCGATTTGTTTTTCTAGATTTGATATCTTCTCTTTTGCCTGAGCCAAATCTCGCTGAAGACTAGCGGATTCACTTGTGAGGGCATCGTGACGAGTTTGAAGGACATCTTTTGCATTCTCACCACTTTGAATCTCGTCGTCGGCCTGACGTAAGCGGGCAGAAACGTCATCTCGTTCCCGCCTGGCAATATCTCGTTCATGGTGAGCCAAATCGAGATCGTCCTGCATTCTTGCTTTCTCGGCGGACAGCTCTTCCTTGAGTTCCTGAATTTTCTCTTTGAATTTGGCGGCCTGTCGAGTCTTATCCTGGAAATTTTCGTGTAGGATGCTGTGATCTTTTCGAAGTTTGTTTAGCTCTTCCTCCACCTTATGAGCTTTTTCTTCCAGTTGGCGGCTAAGTCCTTTGGTGTAAAAAGATTTGTCAGCCATTTCGTCCTGAAGCTCTTTTAAATCATCCACGGCTTGTTCCTTTGCTTCAACCGCTTCTTCGCATGCTGTTTTTGCCTGTCTAGCATCCGATTTAGCTTGTTCAAGGCTATTTTGTAGCTCTTCCAACTGTTGTTTGGCCCGTTGGAGTTCAGCCTCAAGCTCACTAGCCGAGTTCTTCTCATTGTGTTGGTTTCCTTTTAGACTTCCAATTTCGTCTCGTTGGTTGTCGATAAGTTCATTCTTTTGCCTAAGTTCATATTGCAGATCCTGTATCTCATCACGAAGTTGTTGTGCCTGTTCCGACTTGGTCTCCTTCAGAGTATCCAACTCTTCTTGGAGCTCGTGTAGTTCGTTTTCCTTACTCTCCAACTCTTCGCGCACCTGTTCCAATTCTTTTAGTGTATCTTCGTTGACATGCTTTCGATTTGCGTTTGCCTGAAGTTCTTGCATTTCAAGTTGGCAGTCTGCAAGATCCTGCTGTGCGCGACGAAGACTTTTTTTGCATTGATGTAAATCCCTCTCCATCGTAAGCTTCGTGACTTTAAGCTCAGTATTCTCTTGTATCGCAGCTTGCGCAAATTCAGGCTTTGCCAACTTGAAGTTCTGTTCCAAAAAGTGTATCTTCAACTTCAGACCGAAATTTTCCTTATCGAGTTTATTAATAACCTGCAGCACAATCGCAAATGTCAGTGATCTATAAAGAATGCCCGACTGTGCGCAAAATAGAAAGAAGGACTAAACACATTACATTTTCCTGCTCTCTTAGAGTCATCATATTGTGCCCGTCCCCCACGACGTTGCCATTTCGCCCCGGCAGAGCAGGCAAGGGCGTACTTTGAACGCTGCTGCTGGCCATCTGTGGAACGGGTGTAGGATCATTGTCAATGTTTGTCGACTCATCTCCATATCCGGTAACATCTATATTTGGCAATACAGGAGTATTTTCACTACTTCGATTTCCATCTCTCAGAGCAGCTGGAGTTTCTGGGCCAGAGTGCCTGAGCGTCGAATTGCGATTACGATGCAGGTTTTTTTTTGTGATGCTATTCAGCATAGGGGTAAACTCTCCCTTTGGAGGTGGCACCGTAGGGAGATTGCGCCGGTCGATGAGAACATTTCTTGTTGAATTCGGTTTCGAGCCTGCCCTAGGCGTTTTCAGACTAAGCTCCAAGCGTTTGCGACTCCGTCCAGTTTTCGAATCTTTGATTAGATCATGGTCTTTCGAAGGTGACTGAAACGAGTTTTCAACGGAGTCCAAAGCCGATAGATTATGTCGTGCGGCACTGCGGAGGCCATTTGTCAAGTATGTCGCGTTCGCATCAACTTCAGTGCGCGGGGTATCGATGTACGGGAATGGCATGGTAATCTATCGATGTTGGTTAACCTGATTCTAGCTGGACAGGTCGTATATTCATTATAGAAATCAGGAGGTGTCATTGAATGGCACAGAACACGTCATGCAACTCCACAGTTTAAAACCAAAAAGAAAACCAAAAAGAAAAAGAAAAATGGACGCGGTAGATGGTGGACGAAGACGTGTATTTGATGCTTCGATGTTTATAGGTAGCCTAATCCGGCATAGCGCAGTTCTAGGGCTTTGTGCCGACATATCTCGGGAAAACAATTGACCCGAGAATTATGCCAACTCGAGTGAAGTCATCATCAAATTTATTCTAAGAGCTCGCGTAGCCATTGGATAGAAACAACAGCTATCTTGACCAGCCTTTGGACCAGACCATCAACATGGCACCGCCTACAGACGAGGATATTGAGTGGTTTAAATCCACATTTCACCCTATTCCTAAACCTCAGCTCCCAGATGATTGCATCGAATATTCGTTATACTGCATTTCTCCCTCCGGAGAGATTGACAGCGCAGCCGATGCTGACGTAGCTCGCTTGCGTCTGAACGATGTCCAAAAAGCTGCTGCAGAGCTTGTGGAGAGACTGTTGAAAGACTATATATGGCAACGCGAACCTTTTAAACTGGAGAGGATTCGCGAAGATGGTGAGCAGGTTCGTTTGTTCGCCCCGGATACCAGGTATTTCGAGGGCGTGTGGATATCAGAGAGCTAACAAATCTCATTCTCTCCCCGTTGCGACAGGATTGAATTTGCTCCGTGGGCGAACTGAATACGGCGACTCAATCGAAGATGAATGGGTTATTGTCTATATATTGCGTGAGTTAACAAGACAGTTTGAAGATCTATGGGTGAAAGTATCCGATAGTGATGGAGAATTTTTACTCGTGGAGGCTGCCGCAACCCTACCGTCCTGGCTTGAACCTGAGGTTGCGAATCACAGGGTAGGTCATGAATACCTCCAGAAAACGATTTTGATATTCTAACCCTTCACAGGTTTGGGTTCACAAGGAACAACTGATCATCATCAAGCCTGATAGGAGAGAAGGATCAATTCTCAAACCATTAACATTTCGACAAGCCAGGAAAATAATTCTTGAAGATCCTAAACGATTAATGCACTCTCCGATAATAGAAGCAGAGGCATTTTATCGACTTCGCAATTACCCGAAGCAGATCGCTGACAACCTTCACACGACTCGCATTACTGTTCCCCGAAAACTCGCGCATATACTACACATGAAGCCGGCTTATATATCTCCCGTAGTGGATGCGTTTTATGTCAGGGATCCGATATCTTTACGACCACTAAAAACAAAGGATATCAGTACGCTAAGATTCAAACCTGAGGATTTGGTAACCGTAAGCGTTCGATTCACAAGAGTTGGGTATGCGCAGTTAAAAAGTCAGGATTTCGAGTTGCCCCTGGCGTGGAAAGGCAAGATGCCCCATAAAACCGCGAAAGAGGATTATGCTCGCGCAGAAATGGGGATGAAAGTCACTAGCGGAATTGAAATGCTGTTATCAGATCCCCACAACCAGGATAAGGTGGCAGTGAGGGAAATTAACCTTACTTTAGAAGATATCGATACTGGAGACGAAAAACTACCTACAGATGATGAAATTGAATCGACATGGGAAAATCGCGAAGACGATGAAAAGTGGTTGGATATCAGCTTCGAGGACCTTGAAGAAGAACTAAAAGGCCGGCATGGTTCCAATCGGAATGCAAAATCAGCAGGCGCCTTTGGCGACCAAGCTGCTCAAGAGAATCTCCAAAGAATAGTGAAGCGGTTCGAGGAGTTTTTGAATGACGACTACGCCGGCTGTGATGGGGCTGATCTTATTGACGAGGTCGATTCTGATGACTTTGATATGGATAGTGAAGATTTGAGTAGCGATGGAGAGGACAAAGAAGTATCGTTTGACGAGGATGAATTCTCTCGAATGATGCATGAAATGATGGGACTACCGTCGAAGCATGAAGGTAGTGCCCGCCCCATCACATCGAAGCGGATCAAAGAGCTGAACTCAAATGATGATGAAAGTGAAGATGACAGCAAGGAGATAGAAGAACTGTCTAGGCAGATGGAGGCTGAACTTCAAGAAACTGGAGTTCTTGATTTGGATCCGAAAGGAAAAGGAAAACAAGACATTAAAGGGAAGGCACCTTCTCGGTCCAAGAGCCGGTCAGACGAAAACCATGACGAGGACGAAAAGGTGGGCAATGGCGAGGAGTACGACATTGACAATGTGGACTACAACCTTGCAAAAAACTTGCTTGAGAGCTTTCGTAGCCAGGCTGGCTCAGCGGGACCCGCAAGCAATTTGTTAGGCATGATGGGTATGAAAATGCCAAAGGATGACCGTGAATCGAAATAGATGGATTTAATGATTGCGATAGAATGTATATAACGAATTGTATTCCGTTGGTCAGCAGAAAAACTCGGGACAGCATTGATATCCACCGAGTGTTTACATATTTTGCTAATGTCAGGGGCTATATAAAGCCAAGTTGGGAACCAGGAAGGATACAGCTCAGAATCTGTACAGGAATGCAATGATCAATCAAACGATTTTAAACTACTTGTGGGCTCTAAAGCCAAGCTACTCCCACCAACAACTAGAAATGTCCGGGTTTATACAACCGCCATTGAATATGATGTTCGATGAGCTACCGAGAACACCCATCTACACCAACGTCGATAAATCCCCTCCAGCTCTTAAACCATCAACGATTTCCACTCCACACCAATTTAACCATTTGAACCGTTTCCACAGATTTACTTCTTCACAACAACTCCGGCAGGGTCAAAGGGGACGACTTCGCCGGCTGCATCTACCATTGCAGGTTCAGTGTCACTGCGGGCTGTAATATAGTTAGCATATCTCCCTTTCAGCTCCGAAATATAATCCAAGTTCAACATACGGTCCATGGTAGAAGGGGCGGCAATGGCAACAGCCAGAATGGAGAAGAGAGCAAAGATGAGCTTCATTTTGGAGAAGTGGATTATTGAAATCCTTTCCTTAGCAGCCCTCTTAATGGTAGAGAAGGGAGATTCAATAGGGATTGAAGGGTCGTTTCATTCAAGAGGAAAAGTCGACCAGCAACAAAAAGGAATGATTTTTGGCCGCAACAAAGTGGTCTTCAAAAGAAAACGAGAGGATGGAACAGAAGGAGAAAACAAAAAATAATGGTATAATTGCAACCTTCTGATAGATGCAAGAAGAAAGACAATACGGAAGGACGCAAACGAAAGCGATATATGGATTTGGAACATCGATTCTAATGGGGTCTGCCTGTGTATATACATCCTGCCAAGGAAACGAGTTGAAAAGGGTAGACTCCAATTTATGGAGTAAGACGACAAGTGTGACAGGTGTGTTATGGATAATAGCTTCTTCTCACATTTGAAATTTTGGATGCGCAAGCAGCATAATATGGCATAAGATCAAAGGCTTCACTAAGGGGTTGTGAGACAGTTGGCGGCTGGTCGGGCCCTGAATCCGAATCTTACATATTTATTTTCAATGCTGAGTGGTGGGTGTTGGAGAATGTCAGCGCTAATTTCTCAATTATCTATGAGAACTGTGAGCTCAACCGGTAACTAGTTATGAAGGTTGAGACATAGCTGAGACAAAAGGCTGCTTTCGAATAAACCCCTGAGCTGTCAGTGCCATGAGGTTGTGCCAAGTTTATTTTTGTGGTGCTGGGTATCGTGGACACCAGAGAGCAGCTAAATAGGCAACATGGCTTAAATTCCGTTTGATTTGTCGGTTTGGAAATTTGTCCCAGCGTTGAATATCTTCTCGAAGGTTAGGGTTGAGAATATGGGGAGATAAACTTTTGGGCCACGAGTCAGAGCTTAAACCTGAAAATCCACTAAACACGGGAGCCCCACTTAGTCTCCGATCACCTTCCAGGGCTTCGTCTTACCCAAGGACTCAAACGTCAGAGCAACATGAGGCGTTGTGCTTATTTCACATTTAAAACGAAATAATAATATAATGGTAAGAAAATATGATCCCACAGCACATGGATAAATGTTTGATTACAGGGTCAATTTTGTGACAAGCGGTGGGATATGGATCAACAAACAATAATCCCTCTCATAGATTTTCGATGAAGTAAACTTGCTGGGCCTCTTGCCTAGTTGGTTCGGATTTCTCGTATATCGCATCAAGAGTTTGCATCTACGCGATGCTATTATCATGAGAGATCCAATGAACTGGTTCTTGGCCGGTGACTTTGTCAACGACAGCTTCCAGTTGATATCAGCAATAACAAGAATAATTGTCAACTCAAAATTAATCTTCGCAAGGGCTTTAAGAGCGGCCTCAGGGGCTATACCGGTATGTGCTCCACCACTGTTCCGAGCGCGGTCCCCATTTGGGACCAAAATTGTAGTCCTTCTGGGTATGTCCGGAGCGTTTGTCAGTGATTTCGATGTGGTGGAAGAGGTGCGATATCACGAAGCTGGAGAGCAGGCGGATCAATTAGGCTAAGAAGCCTCTAGGACGAAATCGCGTTAACCTGCAGTAAGGGCAACACGCTTCTAAAAGGAGATTGTGGCATACTCCAGCTTAATCGAAATCGATGGCGCTTCCCTGAGCTTGGAAATGATGTAGCCAAAGTATGGCTGGTTTATATCGGTCAAAATGCCGCGCTTCACAAAACCCGAATCCTCAGAAACATTCGATTCAAGATACATAATTGCATCCATAAAGCCGTCTACTCGCCTATTATCTTGGAGAGGTCCTTGCCCTTTCAGGATTGTTTTGGCAGGTGTTTTCATCCTAGGAGAGGTAGAATGGACCGTTCCATATCTGCCAGACGTAAAGAACAACATGTGCAGCGGGATGGAAATGCCAGCGGAAGGCTTCGACAGCCACACACGATTGGTTTTTCTTTGCTGTTGGAAAGATGGAGATTGCATATTCCGCGTTTGAAGCAACAGGTTTTTCGATCAAAACATTATTTTCGGCATTTATTGCCTTTGAGCTCATTCGTTGATGACAATGTCGGTCTTACCCCAACTCTAGTGATAAATGCAGCAACAACAAATTTAATCAGAGACAAACAAGAAATGATGGTGAGTCCCACCAGCATGCATCTCGTTTGGCAGACTGATATAAACTGCATCCATCTCCGGGTCCTTCCAGAGAACTTCATACGATCCATTCGACCGTTCGATAGAATGTCTTCGCTGCTTTTTTGGCAGAGTTAATATCTCGTGATGCAATGGCCTTTAAGACAGGTATTGGATGTGACTTGGCTCTATTGGGTGAATGATCCCTATCGGATTAATCATGACGGTGGAAATAATACCCAGGTGGACAGCGTCTGGATTTTTGGAGCCCATTTTTGATGCTGGTCCGTGAGTAGAGCCGTTGCTGGAGAAATAATCTAGGTACTAAGTTAGCAGGCTAAAAAGAGACGGAGCTAACCTGTAATTAGCATCACCGTTTCTTTTTGCATTGGTAGCTGCTTCTAGAGTGCTTTAAATGGTTTTTCTTCTTATATTTATAAACTCCGGTAGGGTTGAATATACGTTTTGATGCAAAAAATGCTTTCCCTTCGAAGTCCTCAAGGCAGTCAGCATATCTATGTACTCGAATAGAGATATTACCTCCCATGATGTCATGACTACGGAGCATTCGATGCTAATTCATGGCACAGAAAGGCACAGTAAGAATGTTCCCTCCACCCCCTCATATCGAGGTTTCAAATTTTTGCATACTTCGTGTGACGTCATAAGGGGGCGGCTTCTTAAGATTCATAGGAAGTTCGAACCTCGTCTACTATACAGCATATAAATTCGTACAATATTGACTTGCCTCGTGATGAAGGTGGATTCACTAAGAGAGTGACTACGACTGAATATCTGTTGATAGTGTTGATACACAAAGGACAAGAGGCATATGGGATCATGCCAGCATCAACCCCCACGCCCATAAAATATCCGTGAGTCCTCTTGAAAAAAAAAAAAAAAAAAAAAAAAAAAAAAAAAAAAAAAAAGAGAGAGAGAGAGAGAGAAGAAAAGAAAAGAAAAAGAAAAAGAAACATGCATTCCATTGCTCAATGAGGAAAGAAGCTCTCGTTTACTGGGCTGTGCTAACCTGAACTTCTTGTATATACGTTGCTTCACTCCCTAGCGGTCGTAGAATCGGGTTAGCCACAATGGTAGCAGCGGGTTTCGGGTACTACTTGTACACGAAATCCCGGGCAAAACATGGACGGCTGATACAACCTGAGGAACGAGAGCGGTACCATGCCAAAGGACCACCACAAACAACAGAGGGCAGCGGAAAATCTGCTAGGGCAAAGGATATTCCGTGAAGCGGTGAGTGATCTGGATGCTGGAGTTCGCACACATATGCCAAATGGGCAAAGCACATAAGAATTGAGGATTGGGCTGATAAAATTTCCGGTACGCAGGAGGAACGTAAAGGCCACGACTATGAAGGACGATTGGGTCAAAATAGGGATAGTCAACCTGCATAATAAAATATGGACATATATTGCAAACCTAGTGGAGCTGTAAATCGGAAAAGAATGGTGGCAATTTCATAGTTCATGTTCATCACGTATCATGGTTAGTTGCGACAGAGTATTTGTAATAGCAAGGGTTATTATTCAAGAATCTCTTGGTGCGTTCAATCCCTTCACAATGAGTTGAAACCCGAGAAGGCTGGAATAGTTGGCCTGGAATGCTGGGAATCCTGTGGGGAGTGGGGGTATTTAGCTGAAAATCAATGTGGGGAAACTTCCCAGTGCTGGTGGTTAAGCACCTATCCAACATTTGTCGGAGCAGAACCCATGTCAAAATTCCGCGGAGAATCTTCATTATCCAGACATTGATCGGAGCTGTGAAACAAACGCTTTCTCAATAGCCAGTGGCACATAGCCCGAGGAGGACAGTGGCACGGTTCACCTGACCAAGATGACACTGTCCAACATCTCCGGGGTTGGATATGTATTGAATCTCAAGTCCATTACATATGAGCAGCTGGAGTATCAGGGCCCCTTAGTCAAGAAGAAACGGATGATTGTCGATATTTTGAACAATCATGGCACTGTTAGAAAATCTATCCACAGAAACAGTTCTAGAAATACTCCAGCATGTGGAGTCGGCCCGCGATCTTGCTGCGCTCTCGATGCAAAATCGACGCTTTCGTGCTATTATTGATATGCCAACCCGTCGCCGGTTTCACTGCATCCGCGTGCGCGACAAAAATCTAGACGAATGTTATAAGTTGCTTCTAGAGATCCTGCAAAAACCTGCCCTTGGCTTACTGGTTCGCGAGGTGGAGGTGAATAGGGTGAGTCGTTGGACTTTCACAAATGGCGACCCGTGTGAAAGAGGCAGCCAAGTCGAAGGAGGCGATGTCTCGCTCCTTAGGAGAAAAATTAGAATGGCAGGATTCAGCTGCCAAAGGGAGGAGAATATCATGATCGGGATCTTAAAGGAGAGAATGTCGGGATGGAAATCAAGTGAATCAACGTAGGCACCTCCTTTGGCGTATTTATTCAGTCGTCCAGTCTATGTTTTGTCTAATATCTTTCGAATGGCAGACATCTCTTCCCTGCAGATTTCGGGGCCATCGTAGGCATGCTGCTGCTCGCCTCGTGTCCAAACATCGCGATTCTGGAACTGGGCAACATTGCATTCCCAATAGAGGGATTTCTCACTCGCGCGAATGCGAAGAAAACGACAACTAGAGCTCTCCGGAATCTCCGCAAGGTTAGGCTAATAGGCTTAAACAACACCATGGACGATGATGATGCATTTTACCAGGACTACGATTTGACCAAGGTGTTGAAGTTTTTCCACAGATTACCGGCGATCGAGAAGATAAGTATCGAAACAATCAAGATCGGGGCGAATGGATTGTTCAAACTCAGCCCTGGCAAGTCCAATCTTCGCAAGATCCACATCTGCCATTCGAACTTGAATTCGCGATACCTTGCAAGAGTCATTGGACATTGCAAGGAGCTTGAAGAGTTTAAGTACACGATCGGGCAGCGGTGCGCCCTCTACCCGGCCTCCATAAAACCCAAAACACTGGGGAAAGCGTTGTGGAGCCATAGGAGCACTCTGCAAGTTCTTGACCTGGATCTGGATAATCATATCAGCTATGGCTACGGGCCTTACGACGAGTTTGAAAATGAACGTTACGATTTTTCTGATGCTTTCTTGACTCCCCAACCATCTGACGATGAGTTCAATAAGAATCTCGACCTTGATTGTATTGCCCAAAACACCTTTCGAATTCCAGGACAGGATAAATACGGTAAAACCATAGGGACCTTTGAAGGGTTTACCGTTCTCAGGCGGCTCAGCATTGGCGTAAAGTTGTTATTAGGTCCGGTAGAATATAACCGACGGTCATCATATAGGAAAACGCCATTGCCATTTCGGCTTATCGATTGTCTGCCGCGGAAGATAGAATATCTCCGGCTTCGTGGTTACAAGGCGGGAGAGAATGAGATGTACACCAGCTATGTGGAAGAGCTCATGAATGGTCAAGAAGAATGTTTTCCAATGTTGAAGGAAATCCATGGTGTCGAGAGGCACATACTAGGTGTGAAAACACCAGAAAGCTTGGAATTTTCCGACACACCGTATCATCCAAGGGACCCTTGAATGCTTGAAATTAGTACGAGGGCTGATGAAGACAACTACTTAAGCAGAAGGGGTTGTGCATACATAAAGGAGGAGGAGACTGCGGGAAAGTCAGCTTTTGGGCTTGATGTTTTGTCTCCTAAAGGATGAAGCAGATTCTACTAGGAGTATTGCTTCATCCCCTTTTGAGTAAAGGACGTTTAAATTTGGCCACTTTGATTGTCAACATTTGTACAGTCGGCCCGAACACCCCACATCATTGTTCTCATTTTCCATTCAATGTCGTCGACAGCTTCCTTGAGTGAGAGAAAACAGATGCTCAGTCAAAGGCATTTCGGTTATGTGTAAATTTGGTTTGCATATTCGGGATCCCTCATATCTACGCTATAACTATAGAACATATGAAAGCAAAGGCTCTGTTGCTGAAGTTGATCGGTTTCTGGGAAACATGTTCAGTCGCTCAAAACCGTGTACTCATGCTGCTGCCTACTCACTCACCTCTAGTTAGTGAGTGCGTCACACTGGAATGATAAAACAGCAGAATAATAAAAATCGAGAACCACATTAATTAAATAGCTTCATTCATCAACAATGAGTAACTAGCTAATCTAAAATAAAGAGATGATCTAGTTACATCATTTGTGTATGTGTGCCATCATTTATTCGCTTTCTTAGAGATTCCAGGGGTGGTGAGAGAAGGAGCATCATCGTTAATCTCTTACATTTACTCATTTCTCATGCATCTTCTTGTTTTATTTCCCTTTTTTGCAGCATTTCTCTTTTCTAAGCTCTTGATACGCGGAAGGATTTCAATCTCGCACGTTGGTTCGTTGGGGGGTGTGTTGGGCATATGTTGCCTGGGCAGCCGCCCCACCGCACGTGATTAGTGTATATAGGTCGTTCTAGCTAGCCTTTCATCCGAAGAGGTGATTGAACCATCCCAACTTCTTCTTCCAACCCTCGAGTCAAACGGTGAGGCTTGGGCTGTACTGCATGCAACCCGCCAGCCCCCAATGTCCTAGCAGTTAAGAAAGCGGATTTGTGAAGCTGGGAGCGAATCCAACTCCCAAAGCCCCAGCCTCCCGCTTCCAGTTAACTCCCAAGTTTTCTCCTCTGCTGCGTTGGCACCGCAAAAAGCTCCGCTTTTTGAAGGCCCTTTATAGCTCCTGGAGATATCGCGTGCGCGACGGTCATTGCGTTTCCACAGCTTTTCCACAGCTTTTAACATACATCTTTTTGAGATCGGAGTTCGCATCCTGTCTTTCCAGCTTCCTCGTTTTCTCATGGCTTCTCCTGCCCACTGCTTCTACTGCTTTGAATGTCTATATTCTTCTTTTAAAGGCACAGACCCTCCCAGTCTTGCAGTAGTTAAAGAACTATGGGAAGCTTTTGAATCTTCCAAGGAACTTCTTGCAAGTGCAGACTACGAGGATTCCACAGATTATTTTGAAAATGACCAAAACAAAGGCATCCGACCAAGTGCAGCAGTCAATGGAGGTCGATCGGAAGCGCCGGATGACACAAGCGAGGAGTCTGATGATGGAATCATGACTGGACTTGCTCCACAGAAAGCACAGTTACGGAGCATAAGTCGTCTTCAGGGAAACTCGTCATCCCACTCGCCCCACTCATCCAACTTATCTACTCCTTCTGCCTTGTCTAACAGCTCCTCGCGCTCTGTGCTGACAAGCGCGTCTTCTATGACTTCTATTAGCGAAAGGGCGTCATCCTCGTTTTCGAGAACGAAAGGAGTTGCCCCGGGACTTCAAACTGATAATGCTGACATTGCATACCCGTTATTTGTCACCTGGAACACTCTCTCCAGCAGCGGCCACAAATCACTGCGGGGATGCATAGGCACATTTGAGCCACAGGAACTAGAAGCTGGCTTGAAATCATACGCGCTCACATCGTATGTCCGATACCCTTACACTTGAGTTTTTTGTCCCCCTCCTGATCACCGCGCCTGCGGGAACCCTTAGCTTGATGTTTATAACACTCATGTCTAACAACCCCATGCTCCAGCGCCTTTGGAGATACTCGATTTACCCCGATCCCAGCATCTTTGCTTCCCTCCCTCTCCTGTTCCTTAACCCTCCTCTCATCATTTGAAACCTGCAGCGACACCCTCGACTGGACTTTAGGCAAGCACGGGATTCGCATATCATTTACCCACCGCGGGAGACGACTCGGGGCCACGTACCTCCCTGACGTAGCAGTGGAGCAAGGATGGACTAAGGAAGAAACTATGGAAAGTCTTATGAGAAAAGCTGGCTGGGAAGGCTACAGCAGCAGTAGTGGCGGCAAAGCGAGCCGTGCATTTCTTCGAGGAGGGCTAAGTTCTGCTAGCAAGGCAAACAATGCGGTGCAGAAGCCGTGGGAGGAAGTTTCAGAATTTAAAACGGTCAGGTATCAAGGCCTGAAAGCGAGTGCAAGTTATGTAGAGTGGCAGAAGTGGAGGAAATGGGTTGGGTCATCGAGTGATCGTCGGGAACTTTTAGAGTCGGGGATGTGACTTATTCGGGGACGTATACTTTTCTCCCCCTTTCTTATATTCTTTCACTCTCATCTCCTTTTCCCTACTTCTCGTCCCCCCTGAACAATGATTTATTTGTTCTACTCACTCATCTTAGACAAGATACACTGGAAAGTTGATAATAGAAAGCCGATGCGGAGTCGACTTAGTTATCCCTGCTGGATGTGGCAACTTTCAATAGAGGTGCAGGCAGGCCCAAGTTTTGATAAACGAATATCCTGAACGTCTTTTTATCTCTGCTACGTTTTCTTAATAGAGCTCCTTGTAACTTTTTTTTTTTAGCAACCTCTCATACAATAGAGGTAATAGTAATTGTCACAATCATAATGCTATCCCATCTTGGTAACTGAACTATCACTGCTTATGGACTTGTGTTACAAGCCAACACACAAAATTTACCCTGACGACATCAATGGTTTATGACTCTAGCTATAATCGCCAGGAACTTGAACAGGCGTCCTAGCATCACCACAGCCATTCCATGTTTGCTCCGCCGTCCCAAGATATACATGATATTTTCGTTTCGAATAACCCAATAGACACATTTCATAGAATAGAATATTAACTGGAGGGTAACCAAGTCATAAACAAGAGGGGTGATTGGTATATTGTTCATCATCATTGGGAAAGAAAATTGACATATAACCAAAATCATCAAGCCAGTGATGGTATGAGAGATAAAAGATATAAGGAAAACATAAACATTTGTGTGCACCTCCACTGATAGCCAGTCCAGAAGCATATATAATTAAAGCAAAGATTCTTTGCTCAGTTTCAGATCCGAGTCAAAATATTGAAAAGAAAAGAGGGGGGGAGGGGGGGGGGGAAATAACGTTGAAAATCGTCCAAAAAGAGATAATTTATGTCAGGAAGGGAATGGACGGAGGAAAAGAAAAGAAGAAGTCAAAGGGTGAATGAGAATCTTGTCGCAAGTTCTCGTTTAAAAAAAAAAAAAAAAAAATATCATCGTCGATGAGAGGTCGACTGCCA